TTGTTGTCGTGATGGATCGTATGGTTGCTGTTGGGATGGATCGTGTGATTGTTGTTGTCGTGATGGATCGTATGGTTGCTGTTGGGATGGATGGTGTGGTTGTTGTTGTCGTGATGGATCGTGTGGATGTTGTCGTGATGGATCATGAGATTGTTGTGATGACCAGGGATCTTGTTCATCAGCATCTTGTTGTTGATCGATACTTGGTGTAGTTGTATGAGTATGTGGCCTTGCTTCTCGGAATTTGTCCGATGGACCAGGTGGTCTAACATCTTCTGATTGTTGTTGGCTTTCACTTTGTTGTTCCCATGGTTGTTGTTGTGCATGATGTGGTATAGCATGTTGAACTTTGTCTTGATCTTGACGTGATACTTGAAATGGTGCAGCATATAATTTTGGTTCACGTGGACGTAAAGCATCAGTACCATCTGAACGTCGAATAGGTGGTGGGGTTTTAAATGTACGTGTTGATGCATCAAAATTATTTTTAATTGCTGCGCATGATGATTGTTCACAATTTTGTGCGTCACATGGATAACGTCCAGATGCCGTATCCAAATAAGCTGATACACATGTACATCCATGTCCATTTGGAATAGCTAAATTAAATAAAAATAATTAATTACAGAATCAAATATTTTCTTTTTTCTTTTATTTGATTAAATTTTTACCTTGTACAGCAACTTGTCCATTAGCTAATTTTTCAATTAATCGACATTGTTCTTTGTCATTAAGTTTTTCAACACTTGCTTCAAATTCTTTAATATTAGGTAAATTATTTAAAAGTTCTAATGATGGTTTTGTATCTTTAATAGTTAATTTTTCCAAATTATGTAAACCATCAAATGCATGTGGATCAATATCTTTTTCAGTTGAAACAGATAATGTATGTAAATTAGGAAATTGTCGAAAAGCATTAGCCGGTATACGTTCTTGACTATAAGCACGTAATTCACCTAAATTGGAATAATTTGGTGGATGATCAGTATTAAAATCTGTCACATAAAATGCATTAATAATTAATTCATGTGCTGGATAAGCAGGAAAATTTTGTATAGATAATTGTGAAGCTTGTTTAGCTATTTCTAAACGTCCAATATTTCCTGTAAATGGTTGTGATAAATCTGAACGTATATCACCACCACTTAAACGTAAATATTTTATGTTTGCACCATTAAATAATTGTTGAAATGTTCCACGAAATGGATATAAAACATATAATTCTAATGAATCAACATTTAAATTAGAAAATAAATTTACATTATCATGTGGTTGAACAAGTGGATTATAGACTTCTAATGCCTAAGTGAAAGAAAAATATTTATTTTTAAAAGAATAAATTCAAAAGTCTTGGCTTTTCTTTTGTTTTTTACCATAATTTTTCGAACACCTGTTGGTAAATTATCCGGAAATACTTGATTGAATATACTTGGTGATGATAAACGAAGTTCAGTAAATTTTTCAAATTTAATACGAAATTCTAAAGTATCCGCATCAGGTTTATATAATTGTTTGACCGGTGCAAATGTATAATCATGAATATTTTGTGCACGTTCACCATTAATAACTAATTCAACAGATTGATATTTTTGTTTTTCATTTGGTAAAATATTAATTGATGTTGGTAATTCACGATCACTTGTACATGTTACACGGTAATACGTACATTTACAATCAAAACCTTCTATAGCGTGACAAAATTCAGGTTCAGTTTGTCGACGTGAAATTGCTTTA